ATGACGATAGAAAGGTTATACTTTTAGAAAACAATTATTTTTTGAGTTACAAAGAATTAGTGTGCGAAACCACCTTTGAAATAGCTAGATACCAAATTTGGCCCATATTGATGGTGTGGTGGCTAGGAATAAACCAAACTCTGGACAATTCTTGTTTTTGATTTTTTAGCAAAATTCCTGTTTTTAGTGGACGGAGAAGATGGGAGAGAAAGTTGTTTGTGGTGTTGGCTCCAAAAGTGGTCCAGCAATAATGTACTATGTAAAAAAAGCACATCACATACGCGCATTCAGGCACATCACAGACGCGTCTCGGCGCGTCTGCCATAACGCGTCTGTAATAAGGCTTATTACAGACGCGCAAAAAGCACGTATGTAATAAGTACATACTACAGACGTGTGTTACCGATATGCGACTGTGACAAAAACGAACACACGTTTGTGATAAGCCCTTAACAGAGACTAGTGAGTATCTACACGCGTCTGCAATAAGCTCTTACTGAAGACGCGTGTTGCCAACAAGCGTCTGCGATAAGATTAAGACGCATCTATGTGAAGAACCATACACTATCCTAGTTTTTAACATCACTATCGATTTAAAATCCCCCTTCACTGTCAGATTTTGAACCAGCAGTGGCATACCGGCAGTGATGTGGGGTTGACATCACTGCCGGTTCTTGTGAACCGACACTGATGTGGTTTTTAGAAAATCCAAAAATTAGGCCAAAAATATAAGATTTTTTTTAATTTTGGAAGAAGTCCCATTGAACAGCCACACGGTCGGACATCGTAAGTCACAAGTCACACGATTTTTCACGCAAAAATCACACGCTACGCGGCCACCGGCGCTCGAACCCTTGACCTCTTGCTTCGTGTCTTCAGCCTCTAACCACTTCACCTGCAAGTTGTTTGCGTCCGAATGAGATTTTTGTCCTAGGCATTTTATGTTTATCTAATTTTGAAGTGAGTATTTAGGACCTTAAATGAATTCAAATAAAAAAGTTGTCAACTACAAAGTTTTATAACTTTTCGAGATTTAGAATTTTCATTTTGGTAGTTTCTCCATCACAGATCGTTTACAAAATTTGAATTTCAAATTTGAGAAATTTAAACGTAGTTTTCCATGACAAGATGATTTCAAATCAAAAATTTATCAACTACAAAATTTCATAACTTTTTGAGATCTACAACTTTCGTTTTTGTTGTTTGTCCATCCGAGGTCATTTAAAAAAATCAAATTTTAAATTTTTAAAAATTCAAACATAGTTTTTCTTGACAAGATGATTTCAAATCAAAAAGTTGTCAACTACAAAGTTTCATAACTATTTGGGATATACAACTTTTATTTTGGTAGTTTCTCCATCCGAGGTCCTTTACAAAATTTGAATTTTAAATTTTAGAAATTCAAACGTAGTTTTCCTTGACAAGATGATTTCAAATTAAAAAGTTGTCGACTACAGAGTTTCATAACTTTCTGAGATCTACAACTTTTATTTTGGTCATTTGATCATTTATTCATCCGACATAGTAGTAATAACATTATTCACAAAGGTAAAATATCCCTCTTATAGTTATGAAACTATAAGAGAGATACGTAAATTTTGTGAACAATGTCACTGCTACTTTATCAGATGAAAAAATGACCAAAATAAAAGTTATAGATCTTGATAAATTCTACAACTTCTATGTTCATGATGTTTTCAGCTGAAATCATTTAGTATTCCAAAATGATGTTTGAAGTTGCCATTTTTTGAAATTCAAAATTCAAATAGGTAAAACACAATAACATGAAAAGATGGATAAAATAATAGCCGTAAGAACACAATAAATTGATAAAGTATGATTTTAGAATGTTTTAGCAAATTTAAAGTTAGTACGAGGGAGAAAGACTAGTTACAAGTTTTAGCTAGATATTAAAAAGATAAATCAGAGTTCTTCAATAATTTTAAAATTTAATTTCAAATAGCATTTTGAACTAGTAAATGATTTCAAATGAAAAGGTTGTCAACTACAAAGTTACATAACTTTTTGATATTTACAACTTTTGTTTTGGGCATTTCTCTATCCGAGGTAGTTTGAAAAATTCAAATTTTTAATTTGAGAAATCAAACCTAATTTTTGTTAGATAGATGATTTCAAATGAAAATATTTGGACATCCAAACAATCTCAAATTAAAAAAAGTTTAAACTATAAAGTTGTAGATCTCGTCGAGTACTACAACTTTAATATAAAGTTCGTCTTAATCGGACATCATATGAGAAACTTATGAATTTTCTTACAGCATATCACTGTCGGTTCAAGCCACGAACCGACAGTGATAGTATCAGTGTCGGTTCTTGAATAAAACCAGCAGTGATGACCTAATATCACTATCGATTCTTGGCTAAAACCGACAGTGATATGAACTAACAGTGAAGACCCGAATATCAGTGTCGGTTGCTCCTATTACAGCCGGTTTTAGCCAAAAACCGACAGTGATGTTCTATCACTGTCGGTTTCTTAAAATCCAACAGTGATGGGGCCGGCAGTGATGTCCAATTTCTGTAGTAGTGATATCTCAGACACACGCGTCTGTCTATTATACGCGTCTTTAGTAAGAATCCTACTACAGATGATATTTGTAAACGCGTCTGTGTGAAGAAACTGGTCATGAAGAGCATAGGCGGTCTTCAGCGGAGTGTTGATGAACTCAAGAAAGAAAAGGCTGAGAATGAAGAGAAGGAGAAGCATCTCAAGAAGAACCTGGACGACCTTGGTGACCAACTGGCATCCGTGGTTCAGAATGTGCATGACCTCTAGAGCAAGTTGCAGGGTGTCATGCCTCCGCCGTCGGTGAACAACTAATGATGATGTGATGCTGTGTTAACTTTTGCTGATAAAACTATGTGAATGTAAACTCTGTGATGATGTACTTTTGCTGATGATATAATTACTGTGATGAAGTAGTAAAACTCTGTGATGCAAACTCTATCACATACTTTGGCTAGAAATGCATCTATCTATATATTATTACATATATATTGTTGCTGGTTTATTAATGGCTGGAGTGAAAATGGAAGAATATAAGTAAATTCATCAATGTTTTAGTAATAAAAATCATATTTTTCAGTAGACTTAGTTCACATTGCAAGTTTCACACAAGCAACTTCATCATAGTTTCACACAAGCTCACCACTATTCATAGAGAAGCACACACCAGAGAACAGGAAACCAAAGATGAGAGCAAGGAGGACTAGGGAGGAGAGCTGAGCACACCGACGATCCCCTGCAGCTCGAGATGGCGAAGCACGATCGGAGCACACCTGATCGAGTACACTACAGAGAGGAACGAGTTAGAGTCAAACTCGAGATCGACCACAGCCATGGCGGTGTGGTGGACACAAAACGGCAGCACGGCGGTGCTCCCGTGGATACATCAAGGTATAGGTTAGTCTAAGGGCTCAGGCAGCATCAGCAGATCACCGTGATGTCGATGCGCTGCTTGGTTGAACAGGGGACGAGGCGGAGCTAGATGGCCCGCGGTGATGGCTCGTGCGGTGGCACGAACTGGTGGCGAGGTCATCGTTCCGTCTGCGCGGTAGAGGTAAAAGAATGGAGCCGATGAGCATCACGGAGTTGTAGGAGAGCTAAGACAATAAACGGGGTCACCAGAGGAGCACCGGAACGAGGTGGCCACGGCGAGCTACCCATGGCGGCCATGGTGGCACGGCCGCAGCGGCAACCGACGCCGAAGGTGATTGCGGCGGTGAGAGGTAGCTACATCGGTTCGAGGAGGACCGCAAGAACTAGGCGGAGCTAAAAGTGCGGGAAATTACGAGAAGATGGAACAACGGCGACGAATTTTGCCATTGAGCGGCGTGGCGGTGCTTCGACGGAGAAGAGAGAAAGAGAAGAGCACCGGCGGCTCAAGCTTAAGACTTGCTCACCTCGCTGTGGCTTCTTCGCTGGGCGCTGCCCTAAACCGCCCACCGCCGCTTCACGCGCGCAGCCGAAGCCCCCTTTCGACTGCCGCCCCGCCACAAAAGCCAGCGCCCGCCGCCCGCGCCACGCGCCCCCCTCCTTCCGCTGCCACCGCACGCCGCCAGCGCATCCGCCCGCCACTGCACTGCTGCGCAGCGGCGCAAGCGCAAGCGCAAAAGAGCCACTACCCGTTGTGTTCCGTACGCGCCAAGTACCTCCCTCTCCCTCTGCCCGTTAGCACGTGCCACGGCTAAGTACGCAGGCCAAGTACTACATACGCGCATATGGAACACACGTCTGCCACAAAGTACAGAAGCGTATAGAGCAGGACGTATCTGCTACAAGTAGGATTAGTCAAGACGCGTGTTAAAAACACGCGTCTGCAATAAGAGATCTTACTATAGACGCGTGTCATGTGTGCGCGTCCGTAGAGTTTGATCCCGTTATTGAGACTCGGAAATCACAACACGCGTCTGTAATAACTGTTGCAGATACAGACGCGTTTTATATACACGCGTCTGTAGATTTAGCTCAGACGCGTTTTACCAACACGCGTCTGTAGTAAGTGCTTATTACAGACGCATGTTGACATCGCCGGACCGACGACCCCACAAACAACTTACTACAGACGCATGAAAACGCGTCTGTAACAACAGACGCGCTTTACTCATCACCTCTGTGGTGAGACGATGGATACGTGGCTTTTTTACCTAGCGATGGGTCTAGGTAGGGCCGAATTTTCTCACCGCCAAAGATTTGTTGCACTCACGTATCGAGGGTTTCTTCGTCGCCGCCAGTTTCTCCATCGCCGCCGGCTTCTCCAGCAATCTTCAGAAGGTTGGTTCACCACTAGCACGATCTCTTCGCTGCCGTTTGCATTCCCTTCCGAATTAACCGCGCCTTTTATTTGTTCTTTACTCTCTTTTCCTTATCGGAAGTCTAGGGAAGGCTCGCTTTGCCGCCGGCGTCGCGGCGATTCATTCCGCTCCGGCCTTGCTGCTCATCGCCGTCCCAGCAGTTCGACACCTATCCACTAATCCACATGACGATGCCGACGAGAGTGTCTACGTGCACAGCGAAGACAGAGCAATGCATGCTTGTCTTTGAGATCTTTGATTACAGCCAGCACAGGGGCATGGGAAACGGGGAGTTTATCAGTTCCGGCACCTTCTCCGTCGGTGGCTACGATTGGGCCATCCGCTTCTATCCCGATGGGTTTAACCAGAATTGCTTGGGTTACATCTCAGTTTATCTCGAGCTCTTGAGCAAGGACACCAAGCTGCGGGGCAGCTGTGACCAGGGTTTACAATACCGGTAAGAAAAAAAATTCGGTCCCCAGCGATAAATACGAAATTTTAAAAATTTCGGAAATATCGGTTCAAATTTAAATAAATTTAAATTGAGTTTTAAACAAATTTGGCATCATTTCACTAGAAAAACTCTATAATCCATCATTCATCGTAAATTTATATAACATCAACGAAATAACATAATATATCACAGAAGTAGAGCCGCGGTAATACAGTGTGCTGACGGTGAGCGAGCTGCATATACTAGTGCCGTCCAATGTGTGAGTGAGAAAATTAAATAAATTTGAAGAAATTTAGGGCTTTGATAAGACTAGATGATATGGAAGGTCATTTTAGTGTGGTTTAGTGTAATTTTAGAGTGAAAGATGAATTTAACCGAAAAATTTTGACCGATAAAAAAAAATTTAGACCTCAGCGAAAAAGGGGATATTTCAGAAATTAATATCGCCGAAATTGTAAACCGTGGCTGTGACCTGAGGCTGGTCGACCAAACCACCGGGTTGTCCACGTCAGTGCACAAGACTGAGCTGAGGGTGTTCAAGTCCAGTGATTCTAGTAGATTTGCTCCACAGGCTGGCTCATTCATGAATCGGAGGCAGTTCGAGGCATCATCGTCTTAAGGATGATCACCTGACCATCCAATGCATCACAAATGTAAGGAAACAGCCACAGATGTCTGGACCTGAATTACTTAACCAAATTGAGGTGCCGCCATCCAACATCGCTGAGCTTCTTGGCAAATTGTTGGAAGCAGGGGAAGGAGCAGATGTTACTTTCAGTGTTAGAGGAGAGACATTCACAGCACACAAGATAGTGCTCGCTATGCGGTCTCCAGTTTTTAAAGCAGAGCTGTTTGGGCATATGAAGGAAGCAAAGGAACAACTTGTGACCATAGAAGACATGCAGCCTGATGTGTTTAGGGCCCTACTGTATTTCATCTATACAGATTCATTGCCTGACATGGATGATCAAGATGGAGAAGGTTACAGAGAAATGATACGGCATTTGCTTGTGGCTGCTGATAGATATGCTGTGGACAGGATGAAGTTGGTATGTGCAAGCATCCTTTGCAAGAATCTTGATGTCGAGACTGTGTCTGCTACATTGGCTTTGGCTTATCAGTATAGCTGTGACAGGCTTAAAGATGTTTGCCTAGTTTTCATCACCAGTTCGTCAAGTCTGATGGATTCACTGGTGGCAACTCAAGGTTATCAGAATCTTAAGGCAACTTGCCCTTCTGCGCTAGTAGATGCATATGAGAAGTCGTCAAAGAGGTTCCGGAAAACATAAGGTTGTCGTTTGAAGCTGTGCATCGGGGCAAGTTCTCAAGTTGCACAAATTTTCTAAAGATTTTGCTCTAGCAGCTCATAACATCCATGTATCGTTTAGCAGCAGCAGCAGCTTAGTGTTAGATGAATCTTAAAATTGTTAGGCTAAATATTTCTTTTCAGGAAAGAGAACTATCGTTGTTTTGCTATGTCTGTCCATCCTGTCATCAATCTAGTAATGTTCAGTTGCACATTTAAATTTCCCTATCAATTTGCTGGCTTTATCTATTGAATGAACAGCTAAATGTGCGAACTGCCCACTTTTCTGAATTCTTGGTACTCCCTCTATATAGTTTCTCTTTTTTATCGTGTACAGGATTTCTTTTTCATTTTGTTCACCTTTTTCGTTAAATAATGGACATGCTACATGCTAGTAATCTACATTTATGTGTAATTCTGTAATGCACTGATCCATTAATGTTGAAGGCTATCATCATAAATTGGAAATGTTTGAAAAGACGGCAAGAGGTTTGGTGTAAATATTAACAGAAATAACCTTTCCATTTCAGTAATTATGTTTTTACCATTTGTTTCCCTATATCAGTCTATGATCTACAATCGATTAGATAACTAACATTCTTATGTGTTTATATTTGCATCTATATTTTAATAGTAAGTTTTTTTTCTCAATACATAAGCATAACAAATCAAACTTTTAAAGGGAGATTATGGGAAATTAGTATGTTCAATTGATTAGGAACTGGAGTCCCTGCAGTAGTTGGTTTTTCAATGGCTTTTTTTAACGGAGGGAGTAGTATTCAAGCCTGATAAGATAATGTTCAAGCGGAATTTTTTTAATTTATTGAATTCAGTACTCAATGCAAAAATCAAATTAGGGTTGACTCAGTTTTATTGCACTGATCTCCAATGAATTTTGGAAAGTTGTACTAGGTTTGTACCAGTGTATTGCTACGGGAACAAAAAAAAACTTAAGGCAATAAGAAATTCAAGGACACATTTGTCTGTAGAAAAAGAAAAGTTCATATTTTTTTCTATGCTTTATTGTTTTCGAACTATAGATCTGCAATAATGGTTTTGAATGGTGTCTACATTCATTGATTTTACTTCATTGGCAACCGATGAGGAAAGAAAAAGGAATTTGTAAGCCATGATGGAAAATGGTTAGATGTCACACTTCGATATGCCATATACTGACATATATTTGTATGATATTCTTTCGTCTATATATAGGGTCAAACGGACATATATTTGTATCATATTCTTTCGTCTATATGGTCAAACGACAGAAATAATCAATGCAGGCTGTTAGAGCTCTAAGGTCTATTTGATTGAGCTGTGTGAGTTGTGAAAAAATTGTTGTGAGCTGTAAAAAAAAAGCTATTGTGAGTTATTGTGGCAGAATCACCCGAAATAACACGTTTTCAGAGGTGCTCGTCTTCCACTACACACTAAACACCTCGAAAGGGAGCTATATCGGACAGTTCTGTCGAGCACACCCCATGGAAGAACCCAAAAATCCATATTTTTCAACATGATTATAAATGGGAGAATAAAGCTTACAACATTTTAGCTATTTCTTACATCACTTTTCATGTAACATCAGAGTATAATATTAATTGTTTATAACAGCGAAATATAATCATGTTATCAGAGTTTCAGCGGAAATAAAATTATTTACGGACAAGTTAAACATTAAAATGATGGTCCGTTATATACATCGTAACAAGTTATAAGTTTTTTCATTTGTAAAATATTTTGGGTGGAAATTTCAAATAAACTCTATGTCCGCAACGTAAAGGAAATCCTTGCTGAGCCCACAAGGAGGTTTCCACATAAAAATGTCAGCTCCACATGTTCCGGCCACCTGCAACAGGGTAGAACAAACCCTGAGTACTCAATTGTACTCCGCAAGACTTACCCGTCAGGAGAAAAGAAAAGACTCCAAGGGTATGCAAGGTTATCTGGCTTATGTATTTATTGCATCTGTGGGGCATTACTAAACGTGCGTCCTTATATTTAATTTTATTAGCAATCATCATTAGTTCATTAACTACCATTCTATGTAAGCACATGTGCTACTTTCAAGCAGATGGTAAAAAATCAGAACCATTTTTTCATCTTTCATATTCCAGTTCTTACTACGGTGCTAGAATGTAGACAAGTCGTACCGGATTATCCAGCGATTCGTAAATCAATGAGCCCAGTTGGATACCCCGAAACACACGCTCCGCTTAACCCTAGGCACAAACAGGACCAACCCACCACTCTCCTATCAAGGGGTCCAGGTCCCCATCCAAACTTGGACTCAAAGCTCCCACACCTGAGTCTCGGACTTAGTGTGGTGCTTAAACCTCTACCATCCCCAACTCCGATCAGTCGGTGGAAAGAGTCGGAACCCACGACAAGAGAGTAACGAGCCTTTCCTGCTCCCATAAATAAGGATGTGCTCAGGATAATAAGTCTTTGACCTGTCTAGAACTCAATGCAATGGCCGGTCTTTAACTGATACGGGCAGAACAAGTGCAATCTGAGCCTTGATCGAATGCCAAACCAAGTACAGATCTAAAGTACCATTCCGCCCGGTCTCTATATATATATATTCCATGTGATAGTAATATAATAACAACAATAATATATTTCCTGTAGCAATCACTCGACTTCTATCAGAGTCCTATAGCATAACAATCTACATGATCCTGTCATACTAGTAAGACTCATATGATAAGGACTATATATATATATATATATATATATATATGTGGGTTTTCATTCAACTCCTTAAAACTTAATGCACAAGCATAAAATAAAGTGCAGAATAATAGGGGTTATGCACCGGAACTTGTCTGGGTAAGATATAACCAAATATTAGCATTCCATCATGGCAACACGATCAATGAGGCACCATCTTTTCTGCTACTCTGGTCGACTCTAGATCCATCGTTGTTCCTATTATGACATTCGTGGATACACGCGGAAAACGTAATTAATCAACGGCAACTGCAACGCTTAAAATACGATTACACCGCTAGGTTACCGGGCTAGCTCTAATGACTAACATACTAGGCCACGTATCCACGTTGTCAAACAAGGCACTAATTTTCCACAATGATTTAGTTATAAAATTTCGAGGTGTTTCTTTATTTCCTTTTATTTACTATATGTATAAACCAAGGCTCATTAGTTATCTCACCAAACAAATTATTCAGAAGCTACAAACATTTCAGCGAGCACCTAATAATATGAGGAATTTACGGTGAAATTTCTAGGGTCCACACTATCACCAATTCATTACAACAATTCCTACAAGTTCATATTTAACAATATTAAGTATCTCAAATTAATTAGCTAACTCTTGGAAATACCACGAAACTATGTGAACAAGATATACTAGCAGATAGATCATGATTTTAGGATTCTAACAAAATTAGTTTTACAATTTTTGAATCTATAGACAAATTTATATTGAATTTACAAATTTACTCTAGAGACTAAATTGGAAAAGGCTTAGAAAACGAAAAAGGCCGGTGGCGACCTAATCGACCCAATAGCCCAGCGCGGGGGCGGCCACGCGCGTGTCGCGATGACCCAGCGTGGCCCAAGACCGGAAGGCCCGTGCGTGCGCTCGTGTTTTGCAAAAGAACCCCCGGACTAATCGGTTATTACGCGGCACCTCCGATCACTATTACACGAGAGACATATTTTACATTAAGGACTTTGGAACATGTTGCCTTCGCAACGGGGTGGTCCCAGGCGTACCCGCGCGCGACGGCGCAGCACACTAGCGGCAACGGCGGTTACATCGGGCAAGCTGGACCCGCTAAGATAGGAATAAAGGGTCGACCACCATCTACGGCTAAACCCGCAAGCGTGGATGATGATTGAAAACTTAGCGGCGTACTGCTGGGAGCGGCTAGCCGCGGTGGCGGCGCGGCCGATCCTACGAGCCACGCACTCCCAAGGGAGTAGAGGTGGTGGAGAGGCATCAGTAGCTCACCTAGGTGCATGCCCCAAAGATGGTTGAAGCAAGGAAACGCTGGGGCAGGCTGGCCACGTGCGCCCTTACCGCGCGGCGGCGCTACGAGCGCGGCACTGGCATGTCACCCTACCACCGACGAACGCTCTGGCCAAAACAACATGAGCACCGAATAGGGGAAATCAAACCGAGTTTAGAGCTATGATCAATCGAATTGCTAATAGCCCTATAGGCGTTACCTGCAGTTTCTCGAGCACGGCGGTGATTTTTGACCGGCGACGAGTCAATCGCCAAATTGGCCGACCACAATGCCCGTCTGCGCCTTGGTGAGGGCCGGGCTACTAGATAAACTCCTAGGCTTCTTGCTGGCGCGAGGAATCAGACTGCGAAGCCTCGAGCAAGGTGAATTAGAAAGGCGAGAAGTGTGGTGCCCAGGCCATGGTCACGTCGAGGGAAAAGCATGAGGATGAGCTCGAGCGGTAGGGCGAGTTAAAGTGTGGCTCTGGTCGGTGGTGGCAGCGAGCTTGCACACACAAGAGACAAGGCTAGGTGGTTGGCACGACGCGCGTAACTTGAAGTGGTAGGACCCGAACGAGGGTGCATTGGCATCGGCTGGCGGCCAGGGTGGACAGGGAAAGCGTCACATCGCCACTGGAGCCGGAGCCGATGACCGAGACACGATGACGTAGGACGGCTCAAGTGCTCGATGCGGTAGGTGGATTGAAGGGTGAGGTAGGTGCCACGTCTACTGAGTCCAACCCACCAAGGCCACGTTATGCTCTACGCGCGACACCACGGCCAGTCGCCTAAGCACGACGTGCGTGCAGCAGCGAGCCAAATCGTAGAAGATGCGCGACCTCAACCTTGTGCGTGAGCTGGGCAAGGCAGCGGCCCAACCACGGCCTGAGCCCCAGTGCCAGCAGCTCCCCATGCGCGGTGACCACAAGCTCGGGCTGAGCAACTGCTACCAATGTCATGCACGAGTTTTAAAGCGAACAAAAAACTATGCCTAACTCAACCCAAGTCCA